GCAATTCGGTTCGAGTAGACACGGAAGGTAGTGAACCCAGCCAGCAGGGATGGCCGCCACCTTCATCCATGGCCTGGGAGCGCGTTTTGCAGCCACCATGGGCGCTTTCAGCGAAGGGAGTGTAGTTCATGCCCACAAGCTTACCGCTGCTGCCCGAAACCAGGACCCGGGACAGGCGGACGGAGACGGGGTAGGGGTCTCAGTATCAACCAGGGGGCTCGGGCCTTTGGGCTCCTCCGGGGCCGGAAGTGGGAGCAGGAGCGAGGGGTGGGCTCAGGGGTTCTGCGAGGTGAACGGGCAGTAGACAACCACGTTGGTCTCGGTGACGGTGGTAACGACGGCCGGGGCGGTGTAAGTACCAGGGCAGTAGGTCTCCACGACGGGGACGACGACCGGTGGTGACAGCTGGGCACGACAGTGGTGATCGGGGCGATCGTGTAAGGTGCCGGCCGAGGGGCAGACGAAGGTGGTGGTCTTGATGACGCTGGTGACAACGCCATCCTGAGTCTCGGTGGTGGCAACCGGGCAGACAACCGTGGTGGCGGTCTCGACGACGGTGGTAACACCGCCGAGGGTGTGGGTGCCGCTGGGGACCTCGGTGGGGGTGCCGCCGCAGACGGTGGTGGTCTCCGTCACCACGATGGTCGTCGCGGGGAAGGTGTAGGTGCCAGGGGTTGGGCAGGTCTGGGGGATCGGGGTCGGCACAGTGATGGGGCCGGTTGTGGTGGGCTCGGGGGCGGGTGCGACCGAGGTGCTCGTGGGAGCAGGAGGGAGAACTGGATGTTTCCGTTAGCACTTCTTGCTATATTGTCGCGCGTTTTCTCCTCTTCGGGGCAACATACGGGTGATTTCACCAGTGATGGTGGAGTAGATAGTGCTGCAACCCGGAGTGCAGACCTCATCAGCGGCCTCGCCCCTCTTCTCAAACAGCGCGTGCGCATGGCGGTGACCATGGGCCCGGCCAGCACTGGCGCCACCGGCGAGGATCGCCGCAGCAGCGGCCACAACAGTTGCCTTCATCTTGAAATCCGAATGCTCCGATTAGAAATAAAGTCGAGTATTTTTTCTTAGTTTGCTTTCCTGGCGTCCTGAATAACGAATGCCCGCTAAAGGAGTGAAGCGGTGGTGTGGAAGGAAAAGTAACGAACGACGAAAGCGCGAATTGGTGCTTTCGGGCGCAACTATATCACCATTGACAATCCGGGGGAAAGGGGGAAGCAGGAAACAAATCGGTGGAAACGGGAGTGAGGGCGGTAATTAGTACGAATGCAGTCGCTGGGGCCTGTTCCTTGGCGCCCTGGGGATTTCGCCCTGAGAATGCAGGGGTCTGCCGAATCAAACTGCGGGCCAGCTCCAACGTTGGCGGTGTGCTGGGGTTGCTGAGTGGTGGAACCCCCTGAGTTCGTATGTGGGTCGCTCATTAGCAGGGTCACTTCGCCAGGAAACGTTGTCGCCTCTGGTCTGGAAAGCACCGAATGGGGCCAGGGCGGATTTCTCGCCGAGGGAGCTCGAGATTCCCACAGCGGCCTGTGCAAACGCTGGCAGCCATCCACGAAGTACACGACTCATGTTGTCAATATTTTCATTCTTCAACTAGGGCCCGGTACCTGCCCGCATCCCCGAAGACCTGGGCCGGTGAGCCTGCGTTAACTAGCGCCATCCGAAGATTGTCAGTTCATCTGATGTGGCATTACAGATTGACAAATTGGGGATGGGAGGGCAGCCATGATCGAAGGGGAGGTTGCAATTCAGTTTCTGGCAAGAGGGAACATGAGACCAACGACATCTGCACACTGTCCAAGCTCCAAATTCGGCAACAAGCGCAGGTGGTCGGAACCGGCAACAAAAAGGTGCGCGGTGAGTGGCTGCTGTGCCGGTGTGGGAAATGAACTAAGCGATATTAGCTAAATTGGTCACTTGCTGGAAGGAGAGCCGCCACTCGCCCGCCCATGCCCGTTTCTCTCGAATATTTTTGGGCTGCTTGGTGTCTTGGGTAGCAGGCAGGTCGTTACCTCGTTCGTACACAGTACAGGTCTACCTACCTAGTACAGAGGGGGGTTTCATTTGCCGTTCGCTGCCCAGGAAACAACAGTGTTTGTTTGCTGTCGCCAATACCACCAATTTTATCCTAGCCGGCTTGCCTGAAGAGGCCAAGCAACAATTCCGGCCAACGGCAACCGGAGATGCAACGAAAGTCGGAAACGCAGGCAGGAAATGGATGAGAGGGGTGTGGGGACCTCGTACCTGCAGCAGCTGAGTTGGCTGTGGGCCCAAATTCAGGAACCATGCAAGGAACCGTGCAACGTTGGGACGACCCAGACGCAGAATTGAGAACCAGACCACGCACCCCCCAGTTTCTTGCAGAAGAAGATTCGAGAGAAGTGGACTCTCTAAACGCAATGCGGCAATCCGCACCACGAAATGTCGGCAGTGGGAAATGTCTGCCACAACGCTAAAACGCTGATCATCATCCAGAGAGGTGGTTGCATCTGCTCGCGTCAGTCAATGCACAGATCGAGAGGCGGATCGAGACGGTGCAGATCATTGACGAGAATCGGCCCCCTTTTTGGATACGATAGTCGAGCCAGGGAGTGTGGTCCAGGCCCAGCAAGGCCCAGCAAGGCCCAGCAAGGCTCAGAGTTTCGAGCTCGGCAGAAATGGTTGTCAAGCTGCCACACGGGAGGAATAACCTAAATGGTAAAAAACTGATAGACAAGGGTTAGGGTTTGCATGCACTCTTCGAATCACCTGAGGGCGCGTTTTAGTGGGGCAGTCGGAACTTGCAACGCGCACCGAGAAATTTTCAGGGTCATTGGTTAACGGCGTATTCCGTCTTTGGTGGTCCGTCTCTGCACAACCGCAAGGTCCTTACCTTACATACGCTACCTACCACCCTCGGTAGGGGCCGAGATTGACGATGATGATGCGACGCAGCAGCCAGAACTATGTCTGTTGGAGGTGTCTCTCTCTGAGGCCAGCAGAGAGAGCACTTCTTCCGCGGCGGACTCCTTCATCGGCGACGGCAGCATTTTCGGCTTTGGCAGCAACGCCGTCCCGAAGAGCACCAGTTCTACTCCGACATGTCCCCCACCCCCCCCCGCTCGGACCGGCTTCAGTCCCGGTCCGTGTCCACCGAATCTCCGGCCCCCGAAACGAAGTCTGAGACAGAAACGGCCTCCGGTTCCATTGACGATGCGATGCTTGACTGGGCAGGCCAGGTCAAAGCCCTCTACTCGTCTTCCGAGCCGAACAACATTCGGGAGTACCTGAGGATATGGGACGCCCAAAACCCGGGTCGCCCTACGGTTATTCCCAGCGACGAACCCACCGATGGCAGAGTCGGCAATGTCTTGACCAAGAACCGGGGCGAAATGAAGTTTAGCGTGGATGTGCCTACCCCGGACGACGAGGCCACAAGGCTGCACTTTGACGCCGACGACATGGTCGACTTGAGCCAGAGGGGCTCTGTTCTTAACGCAGGAGATCTTGTCGAGGTCAGCTCAACGACGTGGGGGCTCCGCCTCTTGGCTGTTTGCTTGGGTCTCTTCGAAGGCCACTACCATTTCTACACCAGCAATGGCAAGTGGTTCACAAGCCAGACCATCCGCACCGGCTTCGTCGTCAAGAACTTCATAGATGACCCCGCCGATCTGCGCGCTGTTGTGGATGCCCTTCCCTCGCTGTCGCCCTCCGCCATGGAGCTTAACGAGCTCCACGTCCTCAAAACCGGTCCCTCTCGCGATGTTGCGGCCCCGCTGATCCACAAGATGCACAAGTTTCATATCGCCTCGCGCGAGATTAGCCAGACCTATGTCGAGAGGCTCAGTCGCGTCCCTAAGTCGTTTGGAGAAAAGGAGAGGATACTCAGCCTGCGAGAGATTGCCAACGCTCTGCTTCCTGCCAACCTCAAGCGGAACAAGGGGGTCTTTCCCCCGGAGGCCATGTACGCCGTCTATTCTGCCATTGAGGCCAAAGAGGTCTCCCTCCGCCCTCTAGACCGAGGCGCCCGACATCACGAATCCTACATGTTTGCCCTCCAGTCGGCCAAAGTGCAGCAGAACGTCGCCCAAATCGAGCAACTGGTTCGTGGTTATTACGAACATATTAGTGGCCAGAGCGAAAAGGTCAAAGGCCGTTCCGCCTCAACCTTCTCCGAGTTCAGCGCTTTTCTGGAGCAGGCTCGCGACATGATTGATCAGGTTCGGAAAGATCGTGAGTGGTCGCCACATGGTATGATAGGGCCGTCGAATAAGCGCGGTCCGGGTCCGTCTGCGCGAGATATCCCCGCCTGGACGGAAACCAGTCTCGCCGTCATCGAATTTATAGAGCATTGGGCGGCATCGGGCGGGTTCCGTACTGGCTCGCGTTACGACTGGATTGGGCCCTCTATCCTGCGGGCTATTCGCCGCTATGACGACGCAATCCTCGACAATACTACCGGTTGGACCTTTCTGCAGGAAATAGGTTGGATTCCACCATGGGACGTCAGCGCCCGCCATCTTCTGCGCCTTCCGGAGCAAAAACTCGACCGACACATTGGTCTTCTGCCGGACACGAAATCCAAAGCCGCAGTTGCCGAGCTTGGTCCAGACCTCCTCGCTGAGCTTCGGCAGGATTTCGCTCGCTTGACCGTTTACTGCATAGACTCGGCCGACACACTCGACGTTGACGACGGAATCTCACTGGAGCCCGTGGGCAACGGGGAGTATTGGATCCATATCCACGTCGCTGATCCAGCTTCACGCATCCCCCCAAGCCATGAGCTTGCCAAGCAGGGGGCGTTGAAGGCACAGACCAGTTATCTGGCCGGCTTTTGCCAACGCATGCTCGACCGGGACGACGTCCGAGACACTTTTTCACTCGGCCCCAACCAGTCTACCCTCACCTTCAGTGCCCGAGTCGACGATACGGGCCGCATACTTGATAGCAAGGTGACACCCGGAATTATGCGAGATGTCGTCTACATCACCCCCGAGGACGTGTCCTCAGTGGTAGGTGATGCTGGTGCGTCAGCTTTGCGCCCAGATGTTCTCGAAGTCGGGCCACGTCCGGCAAAGGATACTCCCCCGGTGAGGAGGATGACCACCCCCAAGGAATTGTCAAGCGAGCAAACGAACGAACTCATGACGTTATCGAAACTGGCCCAGGCTATTCATCGCGTTCGCCTCGACAATGGAGCCACCCCCGCTTTCCTACCCAAGCCCAAAGCCTCGGTCTCCTTAGATGGCGTTGCTCGAGGAGCAACCAACGGAAACTCGGCATTCTACGGCGGGGACCCGTACATTCGTGTCGAATACAGCGGCCAGGGCAGCCCTCTGGTCAGCAGCCTGATGCAGCTAGCCGGCGAAATTGGCGCTCGGTGGTGCTACGAGCGGGAAATCCCCATCCCCTACCGCACGCAGCTGCTGGCTGGCCAGAACTCAGAAGAGTTGAGGACGTTCACCCGGGATGTCTTCTACCCCCAGCTGATGGCTGGTAAGAACCCGCCAGCCGAAGAGTGGAATAAGCTGCGCAGCCTCGTGGGTGGCTACGACATCTCAACCACCCCGGCTCCCAACCCGGCAATGGGCTTGGATCTCTACACCAAAGTAACCTCCCCGCTCCGCCGCTATCCCGATCTGCTCGTGCACTGGCAGATCGAGGCCGCTCTACGGGAAGAGCACCGCCTCGGCAAGTCTCTCGCCGCCAGAAAATTCGGGGCCGACAGCACCGTCAACGAGGTCACCGCTCCGCCGGCCGGCGATAAGACATCAAAGAAGGAAGCCCTCGCCTTCCTTCCCTTCTCCAAAAAACAGCTCGACGAGAGCGTGCTGCCGCGCCTGCGCCTCCGCGAGCGCCACGGCAAGCTGATCGACAACGTCGAAGGCAATAACCAGTGGATCCTGCAGGCGCTGGTGCGCGCGTGGCGCTTTGGCGAGAGCAGCTCGCCCGCGTCGTCGCCGCTGCCCAAGACGTTCCGCTTTACCGTCTCGGATATCAGCGCCAGCCGCGTCATTAGGGGGGCGATTGACTGGTTCGACCAGTCGGCTGTCGTGGAGCTGGGGGGGCTGGGGGGCGTCGCGAGGATCAGCGAGGTGAAGCCGGGGGATATGTTCGAGGTGGAGCTGGCGGATGTGAATGTGCATGCGAACAAAATCTATGTGAGGCTTTTGAAGAGGATCTAGAGGTGCATATCTTTGGATAGAACTGGGGTGGGCATAAAAATTTGAGGGGCCGTGCTTGGGACGGCTCCCCGGGGCCTGAGGGCAAAATTGACTGCGCTGTACATGTACGATGGAAACGAGACATAAAATTGGGACTGAGCGGCCCCTGTACGATTAGAAGGGGAATGTGTAGAATAGAGAGCGCATATACGAGTAATGAATTCCAGATCTCACGTTCACTAGACGGAAACAAAAAAAAATCCATGGCAAAGAGCGAGGTGCGGCCAACGAAGCACACTGGTATCATTTCAACAAGCAACCCAACACGTAACCACCGTGAGTGAAGAGCACTCGCTAGCTACAGACAGCCCAACCCGTAAACAAAAATGCCGTTTTCAAACAACGGACCGCCCCTCCTCACATACCCTTAACCTGTGCCTACACACCCCCACTCCTTTTTAGATTTCACAACCCCGCCAACACGCCCTGCACACCCGCACTAGAGGCATCCTCACGCTTCTGCACAAAGGCCTTAAAATCCGCCTTACCCAGACGCTTCCCGCCCCCCGCGCCGGCGGAGGAGCCGGCGGCCAGGTTGCGGGAGCGCTCCTTGAGGGCCTCGGGCCCGATGATGAACAGGTAGCCGACCTCGGTGAGGAGCTCGAGGGTCTGCTCGACCTCCTTGGGGAGGGGCCAGTCCTTGACGGTGGAGACATACTTGGCGATGTCCTTGGTGACCATGAGGCCGCCGGTGGCGTTGACCTGGAACTTTTTGAAGTGCTCAAACAGGAGGCGGTGCACGGCCAGGGCGAGCTCCGACGAGAATATCTCGAGGTTGTGGCCGTCGACGGCCTGGCGCGCGGATAGCGCGACCTTGGAGGCGAGGAAGGTGGATATCGCCTGGCAGGTGGGGGTTTGCAGCGCCTCGACGACCCCTTCGAGGTCGTTGTCCTTGGGGCGGAAGTCGGCTTTCTTTTGCTGCGCGAGAAGCTTGGTGGTCCAGTTGACGGCGACGTCTAGGGTGGACTTGATGACGGCGTTGGCTTTGCGCTCGGTGGCTTCGATGGCCATCTTGGACTGCGCTTCCATGCTGCGGCGGACTGTGGTGTTGGCCTCGGCGAGGCGGATCAGGACGGTGGTAATGAAGCGGGACATGAGGTTGGTGATGGTTACGGCCGGGCGGAGGTTGGGCAGGTAGGAGAGATCGGGTTCGTTTTTGGCGTTTTCTTGGGAGGTGGCCTGGTCGAGGGCCGCGTCGAGGGCGGTTTCGACATAAACCTGGCCCATGGTTGTGAGGAGCAGGTTGAGGAGAACGTTGACGTCCTTGGGTGTCTCGCTGGCTGAGCCCATCTCGAGGGTGCGGCGGACGCTCTCGGCGAGCCACCCGATCATGCGCTTCGCGTAGGCGACGCTAAGGATACCGTCCTGCTCAGACACCTCGATGTCGTTCTTGTTGCTGCTGTTGTCTTGAACGCCGGCGACGCGAAGCATGATTCGCTTCTGAGTAGGCGTGAGATCGGACGAGTCTAAGCGTTCCATGTAGGCGTCCTTGGCCGATGCAATGAGTTGTGTACCCTGTTGGGCAATGGCAGCCATAAACCCCGTTGGTGTCTTCTTCCGCCTCGAGTGGTAGATGGTAAACTTGAAAAGTAGGGAGTTGTACATTTCTTCCAGGCTCCGCCGCTCGCGGTCGATGTACGAGTTGCCGATTAGGTACGGGACAAACAACTCTTCTAATTGCTGGTCCAGGGTCTGAGATATTTGTGCAGAACAAGGCTCGGGATGCTCGGTCAGGCCGTGGGTTTTGAGGTCCTCGACTAGGGCGCTGATATAAGCGCGCGATGAGTGCAACGACCGAAGGAAAGCCAGACTCGAGATGGTGGTCGCCTTGTCCAGAACCATTTCTAACCTCTGCTGGATGGACTGCTGAAAGACGCGCTGGATGAACTTGATCAAAACGGTTTCGTAGTATGGGAACGCCCTCTTAATGATGAAGGACTCTTCCTGCATAACGATCTTGACCTCGTCAACCAGCGACTGCAGACTGGGTTCAACGCCCGGCGGGTCCGAGTCGGGGTCGGCAAGCTGATCCCACGTCTCCCCGTCGGTAGTGACTTCGTCTGTGATGAGCTGGTCCCGGTCAATGAAGAACTGGTGCTGGTTGACAAAAGCAGCGATGACGCTGGCACCACCATTAAAGTCGTGGAGCACCCTTGCGCACTCCATCATATCGTCAAAGTTCTGACGGCGGTAGCTGTTGTTGAACTGTTTGAGCAGATCCTGTTCCAACAACTCCGAGAACTTCTCAAGGGCTTCCCTCGTGTTGTGACGCCGGTTCGTCCCTGTGACACCGTTGGTCACGCCGTTCCCCCGAAACCCGTTGGTCGACTGGCCCCACGATGCCAGGTCGAGACGCTGGCTAATGCGCATTAGCTGGCGCGCAATAACAGCGCACCGCACCTTGTTCTCGGCGCCACCCTGCCGTTGTATTTCCTCGAGCGACGTCAGCTGGCCCGTCTCCATCACCTCCATCCAGCATTGGATCAAGAAGTTGGCGTCCTGCGCTTTCCTCCTTTTCCTGTCGAGTTCCTCAAGTTTCTCGCCGATCTGCACGGCAATATTCCCTCCCCCATCTGCGCGGCTGTTCCCATTGGTGGTCGTGCTCGGATTATTGAGGGTTAAGTCCAGGGCCTCGAATTGGTCCATGGACTGGTCGAGTTTGCGACCGAGGGTTTCGAGGGTCTGGTCATGTTGGATCTCGGCACGGCGAACTTGCGAGAGAAGTTCCGACTCCTTTTCTTGAAGCTCCTCCGAGAGTGCACTTAACCGCCCCAGAGCGTCTGCAGACAGGAACGTTAGACAACACAGGTTCAACCCGGCCACAAGACAATCGGGCCGCAGAGCAGGAGAAGGTTGGGGGGTTCTCACTCTCGAACCCCCTAATCAACGGTTTTGGGTCGAAGGCATGATGCGCCGGACCGGATCGGCGGCTCGCGGGGATAGCAGCCTCAGCGAGCGAGTCGACAAAATCGCCGACGATGAAGTCCTTGTTGGAGAAGTCGTCGAGGGTGAAGCTGGGTCCCTGAGGGAAGAGGGGCCTCGAAGCGCTGGACCCGTCGCGTTCCATGGCCGCACCTGTTGTCGTCACCTCTGCTGGGCGTGCATGGGGGGTCGCTCTCGTTCGCGTGTAGTCTATGAATGTTGCGTCGGAATGTTGAACCTCAGACAACAGTTGTGGACACTGGAAGTGCTGTTTCGTGATGGCTCTCGGGACTCGGTGCCGTGCTGCTGTGAGCGGCGGGCAGGGGTCTCGCAACCGCGGGGATGTTAGTGGTCCTTACCAGCGAGTCCAGTGGGGAGCACAGTGTCATTTTGGCCGGAGATCCAGCCACATGCCGTCATTCCCTGAATTCTTAGGCTTGGCTGCGGATTTTGATACGGTAAATACGCCCAAGTCAGCACCAAGCACATGACAACAGGGGTATCAAAGGCCTGTAATACGACAATGTTCACAGCTTGCCTTTTCACTGCCTCCCAGTGACGCGGCGATGCGAAGAAGCCAGCTCTTGCAATGCCGAGCGCTGCAGTTCCAGCTTGTTTTAATTATTAAGTTGTGAGGATCAGACTATATCAACCCTTTTCCCCATCTCACTTCTATTTTTTGTCGTTGGTGGTCGACATCCAACCGAGCACTTCGTCCCCTGTCTTTACCTCCCTCCAATCTCTCGCCAGCTCCAAGACGAAGAAACACACAAGGCAACAACCTAGCTCCAAGCGCAAGCCAGAACACCAACACCAGGCCGATAGTATGCCCTTCGCCTCAGAGCTCGAGGCCTACAGGCGTGATGAGCGTCTAGGCCACAAGCTCTTGACGCCCGAGGAGAGGCTACGGCTAATCAGGGTACGTACAATCACATGGCCTCAAAATCCAAAAACGCAGATCCCGAATTCTTCTAATACCTACCTCTGCTTAATGACAGCCCTACCTCCCTTCGCCACCGTCGCGTTCCAGATCGAGATCACGAACCGAATCGAACGCTTCGAAAACACGAGACGAACAAAAGGCTAGGCTCGGCGTCCGACGCTTCCTGCGGCGTCAATACCATGTCCTCGTCTTTACCTTAATTCACATTTTCTTCTCGCTCTACATCCGCATCCGACAGGCTTATCATGCAGTCGCGAACCGGATACACCTGGTCTATTACCACCACCACCGCACTCCCGAGCTGATACGGCGCGACGTTAAGGGGCTCCGCCGGTTACCAAAGCACCTGAGTGTTATCCTGACATTGGAGGATCAGCGACGGAGCGGTGCCGGGCTGGAGAAGTTGATCAACGAGGTGACCAATATCGCGGCATGGTGCGCCAGCGCTGGCATCCCCCAGCTGTCGATATACGAGAAGACGGGTACGTGAAAAGAAAAACCGAGGAAAACGGACCCGAGCGCGCAGCTAACCAGGAGACAGGCATTCTCAAGGGCTATCTCAAAGACACCCACCAGGCAATCTCCCAAGAGATGCACGCCTACTTCGGGCCCAACCACCCCACCGTGAGCCTCGGCGCGCCGCACATCCCCCCTCTCGAGTCGGATGCCCTCCCCGAAGGCAACGACCACCACGGCAGCGGCAGTAGCGACGAGGACGAGGAGCCGAGGAAGCACATCTCGATCGTGCTCATCTCGGCCGAGGACGGGCGGGACTCGATGGTTGACTTGACCAAGACGCTGGCCGAGATGTCGCAACGTAAGAAGCTCAACCCGGCCGACATCACCCCTGAGTTGGTCGACGCCGAGCTCACCGAGAGCGTCATGTCGGAGCCCGACCTGCTCATCCTCTTCAGCCCCCACGTCGAGCTCGCTGGATACCCGCCATGGCAAATCCGCCTCACCGAGATCTTCCACGTCAGGGACAACCAGGGGGTTGGGTACCAGGTGTTTTATAAGGGGTTGCGCAACTTTGCCGAGGCGCAGATGCGGAAGGGGAGATAGTTCTGGGCATGAACTGCGGGTGTCAAGGGATTTTAGAGGAGATTGAAGTTTTGAGGCGTTGTCTGTGTAAGCAAGTGGCTTCCATCCGTATCATAGAGACCGGGGAGTTGTCAGTTTCTTTGTTAATGAATCGGTGTCTTGGTTTTATACGGTTCACCCTCCCTACGCGAACTCACCTTTACCGCAAATAATCAGGATATTACATGGGGGACAGCACGGATATCATTACTTAACTCAATGGCAACAACATGAACAGAGACTCGAACCAGGCACACACCCTATGCACGAACAAGAGGAGACTCGACCTTTGCTTGTATGTAGAGTACTCGCATATGATTGGCTAGTTTCTCTTTTTGGCGGGTCTCGTTCAACTCTGCACTCTTCATAACCCCATCCGCTGGTTCCATTCGCCCACTTTGATAGGTGAGTAACAGGCCCGTCTCAGTCATAGAACACCATCGTGGACTAACATTAGGCAACCATGAGTGAGCCGGGGGAAAACTACGAGGTGGACGGGGATATGATCGTTTTCCGTTGCCCTATCGTCCGCACAGGCACAGCGGTCCTCAACCGCGCCCTCTTTAACAAGTCGGTGCCCATCGCTGCCGCCGCTCTAAGGGACAACAGGCTCATCAACAAATACCGAAAACCGTTTGAAGCCGGCAAAGAAATCTTACATGCCGACAAGTTATCTCCCATCGCTTCTCATCCAGACAAGGAACTGGCCAAGCAGGGGCGCAAGTGTCTGCTCCTGAACCCTAGCGTTAAGCCCGAAGGTTCGATCTCCAGACATTTTCTCGAAATATTGGGACGAAAGACAAGAGTGCTGACTTTCTCGTTTCCACAGCTCCCGACACTTGGGGTCCGGTGCTCAAAGATGGTGTCGAAAAGGAGGACTTGACTGTTATTCCTTATGAGCTTCGGCTCGACTACAACTACTGGGGTTACCGTAAGAATGGACACCAACCAAACCCCGCCCACGCTTTCATATTTACTTTGTTTACTAAATTCAACCTGCCACTAGGAGACGTAATGACCTCGATCTTGCCGGAAGAGCTTCACGACGAGGTCCCTTCAGGCTTCAATATCGCTGGCCATGTTGGTAAGCCGCCCGTCTCCCCTTACGGTAGCATACCGACAGTCACTAACAAACCCAGCACATCTCAACCTACGGGAAAACTATCTGCCCTACAAACACATAGTAGCCGAGATTATTCTCGACAAGAACCCCCAAATTAAGACCGTCATCAATAAGGTCGACAACGTTGGGTCCGAGTCCGAGTTCAGGACGTTCCAGTACGAAGTCCTGGCCGGCCCGGACGACTTGAACGTGCAGGTCAGCGAGAGCGACTGCGTTTTCGAGTTCGATTACTCCAAGGTCTACTGGAATAGCAAGCTGGAGTCCGAGCACCGCCGTCTCATCAACATGTTCCGCCCGGGCGAGGTTGTCTGCGATGTGATGGCCGGCATCGGGCCCTTCGCCGTGCCCGCCGGCAAGAAGCGAGTGTTTGTCTGGGCCAACGACAAGAATCCCGAGAGCGTCAAGAGTCTCGAGGCTGCCATCAAGAAAAACAAGGTCAGTCCTTTTCCTACTCACTCACTTTACCTTCAACAACAATAACTCACAACCACCACCAGGTATCACCTTTCGTGCGCCCCTTCTGCGAAGACGGCCGCACCTTCATTCACCAAGCCGCGGACTCGGTCCTCGAAGCCTCACAAAAAGGCGAATGCGCCGTACTCACCGTCAAGGTAAAACCGCCACCCGCAACAACATCGACACCGACCCCGTCGGCCAACTCCTCCGAGTCCACCGACCCCTCCGGTCCCCGCCCCCGCACCCGCCCAGCGACACAAGAGGAGCGCGTACCCATCCCGCCAACCATCTCCCACTTCGTCATGAACCTCCCCGCGACAGCCATCGAGTTCCTGTCGAGCTACCGCGGCGTGTACGCGGGGCGCGAGGCACTCTTCGCCGCCGCCGCACCAACTTCCACTACCACCACCACCACCACCACCACTCCTGCGTTACCCCCCCTCCCCATGATCCACGTCCACGGCTTCTCCGTCAAAGCCACCGACGAGACGCCCGCGCTCGACATGTGCGCGCGCATCTCGCGCGAGCTGGGCTTCGCCGTCCGGCCGCTTGTTGTTGCTGCTGATGGTGGTGATGCCGTCACCACCGCGGCGACAACGCCGGCAGAAGTCCTGGATAAGGCCGGCGAGGAAGGCTTGGTCTACGTGCATCGCGTGCGGGACGTGGCGCCCGCGAAGAGCATGTACTGTGCGAGTTTTCGGCTGCCGAGGGAGGTTGCTTTCGCGCCGCGGAGGTAGGTTAAGGTTCCATTGGAAGGGAGGAAGGGGGGATGGATGGGTGCAGAGGGCTTGCTTGTTTGGGTATGCGAGTCGGTCGGTGGCTTTGGTGGCTTGGTGGTGATGACACCTGCCGTTCCTTGTGACTGATCGTTTATGAGACGGTCGCAAGGAATGGGCGTGGTATCCGCGGACTGGCCCGGTCGCTCCGATTCCACCGTGTATGCATGAAGGAACCGCCTGGATAACTGCAAAGAATCAATTGGCTCTGCAATGGCCTTTTCATTCCCTGGTCAGAACCGTGGATGAGAAGTCTATGACGAGCAACAGGCTTAGGATGAAAGCACCAAGAACCAGTGACAGCCCGCATGCTATCGTGGTTGCCCACCTACCGCATGGCTTGCATAAGTGTATGTATGCGTATGTATGTATGTGTCACAACGGTCGATTGTCCCAGCTTCGGTGTATGAATGGCAGCCGCCACGGCTGGGGTTGCCATAGCATGCATGGGGTGGTGTTCGTTGAGGGCTATTTAATCCGCGACGGGGTTTACGAAAGCTGCATCTGACATTGCCCACAAGGCCGATGATGTGACACCACTTGGCGCGCTCTACATACACAGTAAGGTGCCGCTCGATCCCACCGGGGATTTCTGACCCGCAGACTACATTGAATTCTTGCTTGAAAGTTTCAGCTATCAGTGAGCAGGAGGCGGGACCCGTCGGATGCGGGCACGGCTGGCAGCCTCTGCTTATCCGATCCATGTCGAGATGTAACATCAAGTTCCCGATCATCGAGATATCAACGATTCGCGCACCAGGGGATACCGCAGATACCGTTGTGTCTGTGCCGTTTCGTTATCAAGGTGGAAGCGGCCGGAGAACCCCTGGCTATCACCAGCCAGTGCCGAGACAACACAACGGGTTCCAGGCCTGGTCGAGCTTGGGATGGGTAACACAAGAAGCGCGTTGGGGAGGTGGGGAGGGTGAAGTTGATGTTGTGTGCGTACTTCGTAGTGCTATGGGTGTATTGGTTCGACCTATGGTACCGCTCACCGGTAAGTCGCGCCTCGGTCCGAAGGAGGGGCGATGTATCCTCGGTCAGCGCACTCAAAACCCAGATTGCGACAACACGTCGTTGATTGCCTGCCTGTATTGGAGGGCTCAAGGCAAACACTTGTTATGGGGCCAGCAGCGCTGTGATGGCACCTTTGACGATGCGGATGGCGGCACGTATGTATATATATTCATGCTGGCAGAAAAAGCGACGACGCGTCCGCTACCATGTGTTCGACTTCGACGGAGATGCGAGGCGCAACGGGGGATAAAGATATCGAAACCGGAAGGGACGGCGATATCCAACTTTACTAGCGCACGACTTTTCGAGCGATAACAACCTTGACCATAACAAGGAGACTCGCATTCAAGCTAAGAGGCGGGTACCTCGACCTGCAGCCGCGGGACAACGGTGTTATGCGGGCAAAACTGGGCACAGACATGCCATGTTCTGACTTGCATCAGCGTGGAGTGTTCCTAGCTGGTGATTTGCTGCTTTAGTGCCCACATTGCTTGGGTGTAAGGGGAGTAAACAAGACTTTGTTTAAATAGACAGGCGCGCAGCAGGTGGGATTTCGCCGGATCCCGAGAAGGTGTGCTTTGCATGGTCCTATGCCGACATTTGCAACATGCTGGCTTCAACAAGAGCATGTCGCCACCAGCAGAAGGCCAACCAAGGCCGAGACAGGAGAAGCTCCATAGTCAGCTGGAGATCGGCGGTTCTCGTGCTGCAGTGACATCGGCAAGTCAACAAGATCGATCTGGAACGTCTCTGGGGTCCATATTGCCCAGTGCCAAATCCTGCTGACCCGCTTTTGCTGCCGAGACTCCGGGGCTGGTGATATTGGGGATCGAACTGGAGGAGACGCGGCCTTGGTTCACCGGTTCTGTACACAGTAGTGTGTGTGCATACTGTGCATTGGTGAAGGAGAGTAAGTCCATGTACACTGGGACGTACTGTGTCGCCGGTAGGTGCTTGGTCTTCAAGCACCGGAAACGGGCCGCCCGAGACTCTTTGACGGTGGAACTAACCGTCAGGCACACCGCGAATTGTACCTGTCCTACGGATAAAAACGGTAAGCAAAGCCGACGGTCGGAGTGATCAATAGGGATGCCCGATCGATATCATCCTTACTCTCTTTGAGCTGGGAGTGTAACCATGCCGAACTGCTGTGTTGTTGTCTTCACGGGTGAGGTGGAGGGTATATAAGCGCAGATATCAGCCTCTCGATACTCGGTATGTGGTATTCGAAAAGAGTCCCCGGACAAGGTACTGTAACTACCCTTCCAATTCCAGTTTTGAAGAGTTTGATGACATTCCTTTGTACGAATAACAGAAATCAACAACGAAACCAGGGCTTGAAGATTAAGCGGGGCGGGCAACCAGGGAGTTCATTGCGATTTTGGCCGCTTGGCCGCTCATTCCGTCGGGGCACCGTGCGAGGGTCCTCAAGAGGAGGCGAAAACCTCTTCCATTGTTGGTGGTCCTGCTTCATCCGAGTGAAGCCTGTGCGGGACGCCCGAACCTTTGCTGCGATTCGGAAGGAAAGGGTGGAGATGACAGGGATATGTCTTTTTCGGGAATTGAGCTTCTGGCAAATCATTTTGCGAGTAAGAGAAACCTGACGGATTCGAGGCCTGTGAGAGAGCCGCAAGTGGGTTGCAAATGCAAGAATTCCATCATTTTGGCCGCGCTGCTTGAGATCGAGGGCCGAGACGTCCGACGCTTTCCAATATATGCCAATGCAGTGTGTGCCGCAAGAGAGGGAAGAAAAGGTTGAGGAATTCGCACCGGTACTAAACAAAGCATTTGTCGTCGGCATCGCTGAAAAGTGGGCACAGATTTAGATCATTCCAGAAGGGCGCAGCCAAGGCACCATTGTTTCGGCTATCTCACCGTCTTGACGGCGTGTTCGTTGCACACGGGCAGAAAACCTCGACTCGGTGCGCTCAGGGCTCGGGGCGCGGTGACTGATTTGGGTCGGATCATGGGGAAAATCCCCGCCATGGAATCAATCCATGCCTTGTGCTGGCTGGAAACGTCAGGTTGCTGCTCCCATGTCGGGGTTCGCTCTTGCCAGATCCATGGTTTGACTCAACCCGAGAGGACGCGAGCCAAGCATAATGGCCAGAACGGGTCACACGCTCAGTGTGGAGCGCGTCGCCGAGGCCGGGTTCCATCTCCATGCATTCCAGCCGGAACCATTCCCCTCCTTTGCCCTCTGTTGCTGTGTCGTTCCTGTCCGGTTCATCTTGCCCTTGCCCCAGACCCCGGTGGCCCACTGCAGCACCTGTGACCTGGGCTGGATGTCCCCAAGGCCCGCCCTGGACCACCTGCAAATTCTCGGCACCGGGGTCGCACAGCACCCCAACCTGACCACGGGTTTTGCCAACATCCATCCAATCCACATCCTCTTTTTGTCGCTCCCCATCCTCGCACGCAACCAAGCGCAGAGAGGGCGCTCCATGGACATCTCTTTCAAAGTGTCCATCCGATGTACCAACAGGGATCTTCCCTCCGCATCATTCCCAGGCTCTCGGGGCACCTTTTTGTCATGACCAGCAGATGATGGCTCGGGCGTTGCATCTTCCTTCTCCATCCGCAAACACGCAAAACCATCAAGAATTCTCTTTCCAATAACCTACTCAATCTGCCCACCCGAGGTCCGGAAAGCATCTAGCAAACACCAACTTGTTACTATTCATTACACCTCGACACCACTAGATACACCCAACTGTAAGTCTATCTCAAATTCGCCCCCATTTTGTTTACCCTTTTGCGTGGTCGGTCACGTTGCTCCTCGCCCCGTCAGCCTCGTGTTTTCTCCCCTTAGCCATAACCCAATCGAACGGCCTCACCGGGGGACAAGTGACTGCCGGTTTGGCTGAACGAATGAGGGCATTCGTGTCGCATCTCGCTTCGCTGCACTCCACAGAGTTAGGTGGGCGTTCTGGGCGTGGCAGATCATGTCAATCCACCGTTCGCCATACGCCCACCAGAGTATCACACGCTCTTGCACTCTCTTCCCGTCACCTGGTTGATAAGGCGTAGGCGCCCGACCGGAACCCCCATCTGAACCCCCAAATTCACACCCCCGTTTGGACATCAACGCCCCCCCCCCGCGGCACGCATCCCACGTTTTGGCACATCAGCCAACAGGAGCCGAGGACTTGGGAGCTCACCAGGAACCTTCGTCCCGTTTGAGCTGCACGAGATGCCTCGACTCTGAAAAGCCGGGGTACTTACCCGCACACCGGCCCTTGCGCAATCCCCCCCTCCCTCTTGAGCACTACCACGGCGAGGTGCACACTGAGGATATATTCTACCTTGCTGTTTCCTGGCCTATTCTGCTACCCTTTCGTCGCTTTTGCCCTGCCCCTCTTTTTCCTGTCCCCGTCGGGTCATCTGCGTTTCATGCGCCTTGTTTCGCTCAGCTCTAAACCATCCATAGTTCTCTGCAGTCCGCTCGCCTTAGAAATTCGATTCTGTCAACGCGACTTTGACCGAACATTAAGAAACCGAACCAACAAGGCACCTTTGTCCCTCCCGGACACGCCATCAGCCAGCGAACGGCTGTCTCTACCAGCGAAGAAAAAGGAAAACAGAGAAAGAACCAAAGCAATATTGTCCTCACAACCCAGGCACATCCCTTTATCACGATCAAACCTGGACTATCGTGCCACGACTTATGACGGATTCTCTCGGATCCGCATGTCGGAGAAGGATTGAAAGCTGGTCTGGACAAGCCGTCCACTGATAGCCGGGGTTTCTTTTTTCAGAATGGCCGTGGTTCTCACAACAGAGGACGACAGCTACTTCTCGCCGTCCTTGCGCCGTTCCCATTCACAACCAAAATTTGGGACGAAACATTCGAGTTCTCGCACATCATCATCAACTTCCCGACTCAGCGATTTGTATACCCAATGTTCCCCGGGGTCGACAATTTCCTCGACACCATCCTCCCCGCCGGCCACCAATACCGAGTCCGCATACCTATCCGATTCGTCGACACCGGCCACCAACTTCTCCTTGGCCTCCGATTGCGACGAGCCCTCTGCGACACCAGACGAAGTCTTTCTCCAGCAATGCAATGACGGGGGCTACTTTAGCCGACTGGGGAATCAAGAACCTCCGTCGAGCCCGCGGGTCGGCGACTCGGACGCTTCTTCAATAGAAGGATACGACGAATCGGCCGTAACGTCGAGACCCGGTAGCCCAGACTGCCACGAGAGGGCTGAGGATGACATCGCAGTACGGGCGCAGCCTTCCCGGCATGTCGACTATCTATCCCATGACTGGCGGGAGGAGGATATCTGGTCGTCATGGAAGCTGATCGTGTCAAGGAGAGGCGACTACAACAACTCTGCACGGCTGGAGAACGCGTCTTGGAGGACCTGGATGAAGGCCAAGAATAACCTGGACACGGTCTCGGCTGAGACTCTGAATTGGTAGGCAGATATCCTTCTGTTCCTTTCCGTGTGTATTTGTTAACCCTCCCCAGGCTTAAAGACTATGACGTAACCTGGCTTTACGGGCCATTACAGACGGGTACCTCCACCCTGAACCACACATCGACGAACTCCACCAGCGCTAGGCTGTCTAAGTCGAACTCATTCATCAACAAGAAGCCCATCTTGAAGAAGAGAAGCATGTCGGAAATCATGCTCCAGAGGTCCCTTTCGACTTCTTCTCTGGTGAAACAGGCGGCCGCAGCGGTGCAGGCCCAGCAAAAGGGGGGGTTGAAGAGGATAGGCAGGCGCCCGGGCATCGAGCGGGCCAACACGGACTACATCACCTTCCCTTTTTCATCGCGCGGGTTGAGCCACGACGGCACCAGCCTGTTCCCTTCGACCAGGTCTTCTGGGGTCGTTTCTCCCAATGGAGGGCGGAAGCATATCCATTTCAACGAACGGGTTTCCCAGTGCATCGCTGTCGAAATCAAGGGCGACGACGAGGATGATGACCTCGATACGGGCCGCTATCAATACGATAGCGACTCAGATGACGGAGCCATCATGATGAAACGGACACAACCCAAGAAGAGGCGGCCGGTGCTGAGGAAAACGAAGAGCCACAACAACGGTGGCGAGAGCAAGACGATCGCCATGCTCCCCTCAACCACACTAAAGTACCGAGAGGACACTCCCAACCCGGTAGACACGGCCATGAGGCATAGCACCAGCGGCGGCCTGAGAAGCCCAATATTGTCGCCGTCGTCATCCCAGGAAACCCTGCGGCCGGCCAAAAAGTCGGGGAAGCTTTTCTTCGAGGGGGATGAAGACGACGACGACGATGATGACGAGGACGACGACAAGGTAGAAAAGATCAACATTCGACCCGGCGCGTTTTCATCTCTGCGGTACAATGAAGGCATTTCCAATTTGCGCCGGTCGGTATCCACAGCCAGCCTCTCGGTCGAGCCGACCGGCATGCATAGGACTCCATCGGGGATGTTCATGCCGACCGAGGCGCCAGTGTCTGGACCCCCGGACGATGGCATGATCGGTCGATTCATTAACACGGTAAATACGGCCCGGGACATTGCCCACGTCATCTGGAATGTGGGGTGGAAGAGATGATTGTGACGAGACCTCGTGTTGTTAACCAACGTTGTTTTTTTCCAGGGGGAGGCTGCTTTCAGTACCAATCGACTACGGCGCAATTCGAGGAGTTTTCAAGGGTTGTACGATTAAAAAGACGAAAAGGCGTAGGCGTTCTGGACCACGAGGCTGCGACACGAGCGGACCCGTTCACGTCACCCTCGGCTCGACGAGGCCGGCCTGTATCGCTATTTGCAGGCGCGGCTCGAGGCCCAGTTACGCGGTTTATCACGACAGGAAACATGCATCGTTCGGGGTGTTTGAGCAGGTCTGCTTTTACAGGTGCCGGGTTTTGTTCTTCCGGTTTCTGGCTGCTATTTCGGAGCACGTCGCCATGGGGTTTACGCGGAGGGTTCGATTTGTTTTATTTGCGGTCTGAGGCTAAAGCAATACCCACCGGCTACTTTTGATTTTGGGGTTGATTTTCTCATTAGGTGATGGTTTCCATCACTGCAGAGGATCAGCTTGTCTCCGGCCGCAATAGTAGTCGTCTAGGCGGCCGGTGATGACTCTGTCCTGGTGTCATGGCGTATTAAAAAGGAAATAAGGAAAAATCTATCACAAAGGCCGTGTGTGCCTCAGGAGCAACCATGAGATGGAGGCTAGTTACTTGCTAATGGCGGTTTATCAACACGAGCTGAAGTGAACCTTGACTACTCTAGGTACCTAACTATTAGGTACATACCCAGCTTTTCGTACTTGGTCACCTGTTCTTGATTACCGCCCAAAATCGAAATCCCTGGGTTTATCAAACCATAACATTCCTCGAGAAACCGCACCCTAGTATAAATGACTGACACCCAAGCCATTCAATATTTATTCTGTGCTCTGGGGACGAAGTTAAGAAAGACAAGAAAAATAAATTAAATAAAAGAGACCGGGTCAAATAAAAAGTAGATTTTGGGCTTCCAAATGGCCTCTTCTCTCATTCCTCTAGTTGGAGGTTTTGTCGAGAACTTCACTTAGGCACAGAGGGTGTCTGGGCTGTTTATTCGCCTCGAGTTGCTCTCGTCCCAGTGCCAAGCTTAATAGGCGTGGGGTGGCATGGGTGACATGAGGGGCTCAAGAAGCTCGGGCCTCCAAGGCCGCCGGGAACGCGTGCATTGGGAGCTGCCTTGAGCTCTCCAGCCTGCCCGCCAACTCCAACTCCAACTTCAAGCCAACCTAAGCCCGCCCATCGCTATCCAGTGCAGACCCGCCCTCTTTCGACGACCGCATCCCACGAAATACACATTAAAAACTCCCGTCACTTTCCGATAGCCACACAAGCAACCGCAAACAAAAGAGAAAATGGATACGCTCGTGGCGCGGTACAGCCGCCCGGCATACCACCAGAATGAGGTCTTCTCGGAGCAGGAGCAGCAAGACCTTAACGATACGGTGCCCAGTCTCAAGTTCGCCATGCCTCCGGTCGCACATGTAGGAGATCCTTAGCCTAAATTTATTTTCATCCCTCCACCGGCTCTCCCTTTGCTGACGGTAATGTTGTAATCCTAGCCCTCGGCCTGGTTGCGCGCCGCAACAGACGACCGCTCGAACCCGTCATGCCCGATCAAGATCGCCCACGGCACAACGACGCTCGCCTTCCGCTTCCAGGGGGGCATCATCGTGGCCACCGACTCGCGCGCCACGGCCGGCAACTGGATCGCCTCACAGACGGTGAAGAAGGTCATTGAGATCAACTCGGACCTGCTCGGCACCATGGCGGGCGGCGCCGCCGACTGTCAGTACTGGCTCGCCTGGCTCGGCATGCAATGCCGGCTGCACGAGCTGCGGCACAAGCGCCGCATCAGCGTCGCCGCCGCGAGCAAGATCCTGGCGAACCTGGTTTACCAGTACAAGGGCATGGGCCTGTCCATGGGGACCATGTGCGCGGGCGTCACCAAGGAGGAGGGCGCCGCGCTCTACTACATCGACTCAGACGGCACACGGTTGGCGGGCGACCTGTTCTGCGTCGGGTCCGGCCAGACGTTCGCCTACGGTGTGCTAGACTCGGAGTACCGGTGGGACCTGACAACCGAGGAGGCCCTCGAGCTGGGCAGCCGTAGTATTCTGGCCGCCACCCACCGTGACGCCTACTCCGGTGGTTTCATCAACCTGTACCATGTCAAGGAGACGGGCTGGGAGAAGCACGGTTTCACCGACACCAACCCGGTATTCTGGAAGACCAAGCTGGAGAAGGGCGAGTTTAGCAACGTCACGAGCAACTTTAACGAATAAATCGGAGGAGTGCATCGCGGCGGGAGAGAGGGGGCGGAGGTCCGGCGACCAAGGAGAGTGGCCCTTTGTGCCGTTGGCTTGGTATTTCACGAACGTCATGGCGTCAAGAACTGGGATCGGAGCTGGATTGATGAGGCGAGCACGGCTTGTAAATGTATAAAAAGAGCATTAAACACGCCTTCCAAGACACATACAAGTTCGGGTGGCCAAGTGCGATCGATGTGTGCGGGACCAGGTGAGTACCAAGCTCACCCTTCGTTCTATTAGTATCATCATGATGGTACAATACTGGTACATGCGTACACAAGGGCAGCCGCGCCGAGTTCCCCGATTCCCCGCCTTTGGGCATTACAATCGTCCCTGGACAGCGGCCTGTTGGTAGTCCACTCCTGCCTTTCCTTGCCTTCCTTTTCTCGGAATTCCTACCCTCTTGTTTACATCTTTTTCTCTGTCTCCCTCAATTTCGCCGCCGCCTCCCGCCACAACGTCTCTGCATCCGGGAACCGCCGCCGCCAACCATCCAGCCCAAGAATGCCTTGCGTCTTGGATACCTGTTGATCCTCTGCTGCGCGTGTCTGTGTTTCCAGCAGTTCACTTCCCTCTCCTCCCTCCTCCACCAACCTCCGATACCTCTCCCTCCACACCCCCTCCGGATCCTCCACCCCCTCCCACCCATCATCCATCTCCCACCTCCGCCGCGGCAGCACCGACAACTCGCTCTCCCACCCGGCCTCCCACATCTCCACCCCCGCCCACGCCACCATCACCGCATTATCCGTGCACAGCCCCCGCGGCGGCCGCACAACCGCCACCTTCTCCGGCCCGTACCCGCGCACCGCCAGCACCCGCCCCAGCACATGCATCAGAAACCCGTTCGCCGCCACCCCGCCCGACACCACCAGCGTCCGGACCGGCAGCGCCGCCGCCTGCGTTCTCATCCCGTCCAGCGCAAAGATAACCCGGCTCGCGAGGTGCTCGAACGCCACGCGCATCGTCTCGCGCGCGAGCTCGGCGCGTTGCGGGGGGTCCATGGACGGGTTGCGCTGCATGATCGCTTGGACTTGCCCGCCGAGCCCGGAGAAGTCGAAGGCCATGTCGCGGCGCTCGTGGAGGGGCGGGGTGAGTGTCCAGCCGTGGGTGGGGGAGGTGTAGGGGCGGATTTCGTCGCGGCGGGTGGTAGGGGGGTGGTAGTTGGTGTAGGGGTTGGAGGGGTGCTGTGTTTGTGTTTGATGGGTTTGGGTCTGGGTGGGTGTGGGTGCAAAGGCGAATCGCTCCAGCTCGGCCGCGTACATGACGTCGGGCGTGGAGGCGAGGATGTCGGAGGGGAGGATGGCGCGCGCGCACTTGTCTAGCATGTCGCCGATGGCGACGTTGGCGGCCTCGGCCAGCGTGGCGTGCGAGACGGCTGATCGTGTGAGCAGCAGCTGGCTGTGCCCGCCCGAGACCAGCAGGCTCAGGAAGGGGTAGGCTGGCCGTGCGCCCCCCTGGTGCGGCGGCTGTTGCTGCCCGTTTGCGAGAGCCTCGACTAGCCGCGGCGTCAGGGCGTGCGCCTGCATGTGGTGCACCGCGACGAGTGGCCGGTCCCACGCCACAGCCAGCCCTTTGGCCATGGTCAGGCCGATGGAGAGGGCGGAAGTGATGCCGGGCCCGCGGGTGACGCTGATGAAGTCGGGCTTGGGGCGGTCGGCTGGTAGTTTCTGGATGGCGGCCTGCACGATCCCGGGCAGGCTGGACGAGTGGCCCTGGACGGCTTCGTCTGGCTTGATGCCGCCGAACCGCCGGTTGTCGGACGTGACCTTGGCATTGAACAACACCCGGGCCGCGTCGCCCGATTTCTCGAGGACGGTGACGCAGGTATCATCGCATGATGTCTCGATGGCGAGTGTCACCAACCCTTTCTCGCCAGCCTCGCCTGGATCTTTCTTGTGGCTGAACTTTCTCAACCCCCCTATCCTATTGGAGTTGGCCAAAACCGGATACCGTTGTTGGCCATATCTCAAGGGTAAATATACGCGGCGAGGGTCTGCTGCTCGCAAGCAGACAGACTTGAATCTCATTCTGATTGTAGCTGGTTCACAGCGTATCCCTCATTCTTTCCGCGTATTACCGAGTTCAGCCGGCGATTGATAAGACAATTTTATTCAGCTCTTAGTCGGTTCTTCCGACGAGGGCTGATAAGGTTAACTGGATATTTCTCATTCACATATGTCAAGCCATCAAGGTACTCCATGGTTGGACACACAAATTCATTTTGCCAGCTGTTGGCAGTCGGTAGCAGCTGTCAGAGTATACCATTACCACAATCCTTACTCCGTAGCCTTGAATTAACCACATCGTTGGATTCACCACCTCACCCTAAGCGCCAGCGGATGTTTCATAGTTTTAAATAGTTGGTATATAAAAGCTCAACGCCTGTTTGATGCCTATGCAATATGATAAGTTTTCCCTTAGTGCGCCCCCTGGGTAGTCTACCTCTACCATATCCTGCCCCCGGATGATGCCCTCCGCATCCAGCACAACGCAGAATAAAATAAAATCTGGATTAACCCAAGCCCACCAGAGGTCTTTCTCCCTCCCCTCGCCTCCCCCCTTATCCCCAGACGCCTACCCCCCAACCAAGACACCTCAACTCTCCCTCCCGCCATTAACACCCACCCAATTCCGATACTCGCACTTACACCCACCACTCCCGCCATCCATCCCCCCAAAACTGGGATTAAACTCCCCCGCCCCATTCACCAAATCCCCCGTGGTATTCATCCGATTCAACACAAACCGCGCATCATCCAGCACAATCCTCTGGCGATCATCCACGCCGCGCACAAACGCAAACTTGCGCCCGCGCTCCCCACCATGCGTATCCAGCGTGACGGTCACCGGGTACGGAAACGACCCCGGCTGCGTGCTGTTGTCGTTGGTGTTGCCGGCACCGGTGAGTCGCGTCGTGTTGGCCAGCCGCGTCCAGATCTCGACCTTGTAGCGCACCGAGAGCCAGGTCACGAGGAACTTGGCTTCGGTCTTGAGCGCGCCGCCGTTGCGGTCTGCGGGGACGGGCGTCCCGTCTCCGGCGCTGTTGTCGAGCAGCGGGTCGATGGACTTGACGTAGGTGGTTTTGTTGTAGTAGCTGTAGAAGCCGTAGCGTTCGGTGGGCAGGCCGCGGTCGTAGAGGCGGAGGGGTTGTTGCGTGGGGAAGGCGAGGAGCACGGCGGGGGCGCCCGTGCCGTCGCGGTCGAGGGCGGGGGGTGGGGCGATGTCGGAGGCGTTGAGCAGGCCTTGGCCCGCGGTGATGTTGGTTTGTTGGCCGAAGTTGTCGTCGTCATCGCGGCGTGTGAGGGTGTTGGGCCCGACCGTGTCGTTGATACTGCGCAGCATGCTGATGTAGAAGGGTGTTGGCTCGCCGGCCTTGTCGTCTGAGACGACGCCGTCGGTGGTGTTGCCGAGGAAGAACATCTCCTGGAAGCTGGGCGGTGGGGGCTCTGAGCGCAGGGCGAGGCTGGAGCCTGAGTCGTCGCGTTTGCGTAGGAGATGGCGGACCAGCGAGGTGAAGCCCGTGACGGGGACGGCCCGCGGGTTTGTGGTTGGGGTGGCGGTCGTCTTGGTGGTCGTGGACTCGTTGAGCCGCGGCAGCGGCACTGACACGCCCGGGTCGGTGGGGGTTGGCCGGGGAGCGTCGCCCGCGACGTTCCACAACTTCCGGGTGTTGTTGTCGAACTGGATCTGGATGACGAAGCTGGGCTGGCTGGCGTCGAACGGCGCGACCGAGTCGGCTTGCTCCTTAGGTAGAGCGCAGGTCCAGAGCGTTGGCGGCTGGACACACGCCGTCGTTGAGTCGGATTCGGGGCCGATCACGGTCGAGATGCCCGTGGGAATCGGCGGGAAGTCGGTCAGGTTGAGGAACCGCGAGGGTATGATTTCCTCAGCGGCGGCGCTTTGGCGCGACAGGAGCACGCCGAGGGTAACGCCCAGCGCCGTCAGCAGTATGAACGCGATGAGAACGGCCAAGCAAATTCGCCTTCGCTTTCTTCCCTCGCGGCCGGGTCTGCCGAAGCAACCGCAGCAAGGGAAGCAGCCGCGGCCATGCCACATCCTGCCGGCCTTCCAGGCGACGGCATCCTCCTTCTCATGCCGACGCCGCTGCCGCTCTACTTTTTGCCTCTGGCCATGCCCAGAAACGTTGGTGAAATGCTCGCCGGGGACAAAGGATCCCAGAGGTCTGTCGGGCAGTCTCTGCTGGGTTGGAGGCGGTGTCAACGGGACATCGGAGAGGTTAATGGCACCCTGGGAGGTCATGGTCTGCGACAGGCCTGGGGGGACGGGTCCCGGGGAGGGCGGATATAATGAGTTGAGCGGGTGGCCGGGAGGGAAAACGGCACGATAACGGGCGTTGTTGTTTTTTGATGGCGGCGAGTATGGGGGTGGTTGCTCGCCGGGGGTCTGTACTTCCTCAATCATCCCCCGCGGCTTCTCGGATTCAGGTTGCGGCTGTGGGGGCGTTGGGGCCGCCCTGGAAGAAGAAGGGAACGAGGACGACATGTCTTCAATGATGATCTCTGGAGGTTGGTGGTGCTGTGTTCTGGGAAGGTTCCGTGACCCGCTTGAGGATCCAGCCTCTGACATGGGGGTCACGGGGGAGAAAGCCTTTTTCTTATCCAGGTTCTTCCACCACGATTGCCCCTCGTCAGGCTTGGTTTGGATCGAAGCAGGGCTCCGTGGCGTTGGCGGTCCGAAGGGGGAGGTCACCTGGTCCCACCAGCCCGTGGATCGCAAGCTCCCACCTGTGCCTGACCGTGGCCTTCCTTTGTACTTGAATGATTTTCTTTGTGTGATTCTCGGGCTGCCATCTTCTTCAAACAGTGTCACCGGTGTTGCCATCTCATCGTCGTTATCGCTGACGTAAATCGGCGTGGTGGCTGTGTCACGGTGATTCCTCCTCTCGCCAGCCGCTGAGAAGGCGTCTCCATCGTGGTCACTCGCGGTGACAGGCGATACCTCAGCAACCCGGTAATGACTCGGGATTGAGGGAACCGCGGGTACAAACCCTCGCTGCACCATTCTTGGAGATGCGCCGTCCTCGGTATCGGGAGACCAGGCCGAAACGGGCTGGCTTGGGGATGTGACGTTGGTCGGCTTGAAAAACCTGGGGAACTCGATCGGAGTCTCGACGACAGCGGTCTGCGGGCTGATGACGACGTCCGAGTCGGAGGGCATCTCAAACCCGATCATGATGGGCCTGGCGCCAGGTGATAAATCGGCTTGCGGGGAGGACTCGGCGACCAGTCTTTCAATCCTCTTGCCCTTGGTTGGTCGCCGCGTTAGCCAGGCAAAGGTGCCGATAGACTCGTCAGATGGGACGCCCTCAAGCGCCTTCAGTGCAGCGGCGTCAACGAACTTGCCGGTCCGGCTCTCTCGGTTCTCCGGGGACGTCCTCATATGGTGGGCGATGTGCCGCTGTTGATGCTTCTGCTGCTGGAATTTGGACATGTCGGTAACCAGTTTGATACCAGCTCTCTCATTCTGCGCCTTTTGTCTTTTGCGCGAGGCCAATCTCCCCAACCCTGCTCGTATCGACGGGCGGGCAACTACGCCAGAGACCCGTCGAGATGCCCGCAGTTCTGGGCGCCCGGCTGCCGCCTCCCTCGCGTCCTCGACCTTCCCGGGTGCCGAGTCTAGTAGGGGACCATCTTTTGTCGTCATGGGCGTCAACACCTCGTCGTCTTCCCAGTCTTCCCAGTCATCTTTGGTCCTAGAAGATATCCGGCTGCTAGGGCCTGGTTGAAGCGCCCGTAGGTCGCTCATCTTGCTTTGTTTTTGTTGTCGATCGTTGATTCTCGATAGGATTGTTGTTGTGGTTATTCTTGCTTATTGAAGTTGTTGTAGGTGCGTGTTGGCAGTCAAGTGTTCATCGTATCCAAGAGCGAGAGTGTGAGTAGTAGGTATGACTTCTCAAACAATGGCCTCTAACACGTGCTTGAGTCCCAAACGAGGATTAGAATGTCTTGGTTGATTAAAGGATGTGAGAAAGAAAGAGGCCAGGTCCCAGACTAAGGCGCTGCCTCTGGTGCGTGGCAAGAAACAAACAGGCCCAAATGGGTCGCAACAATAAGAGATGAATGAACGTCGGAGGGGGAGAACAATGGCAAGGCGACGAGATGAAAACAAGAGAAAGGTTCAAAATTTCAGCGAGGCACAAGGCATGCCATGACTAGGTACCTACACCCGCAGCAAAAGAGGCTGCCAGCGTGTCGCGTGGCATGGCTCCTCGCATCCTGGATTCCCTACCCGTGTGCGTGTACCTTGCATCCATCACTTCTGAGGCCACCCGTCCCGCGTCTAACCCAATATGACTCTCTCATGTTTTCCATGGCCCGACTCCAGGGTTTGACAGCCGCCGTCGCCAATCGCTGCGCGGGAAGTGCTTAGCCGGTTCCAACTCTGCGTCTGCCCTTGTCCCCGATCGCAGGGCTTGTCGTCAAGCATCGCGCTCTCTGTGGACAGCGAGGACGCCCCTCGTTTGATGGAGCGGGGCTCTTTGTGTGGAATAAGCGCTTTGTGGTCGCTTGGTGTTAAGAGATTGGCCGCCACGAACCGCCCGGAGTTTTGTCCCGCATTCTGATTGGCTCCTTGTCGCGGATTGCCCAAATCAGCGGCCGGCCAATCGTCACCGAGTTTTGATGGGTTTTGACTCCTCGCTTGCTTGAACCCCAAACACGCCTCTTGCTTCACTTTTTTTACTGGCTTTGTCGGTCAGGGCTGAGGGGTATTGAACACTTACCACGCCGGTACCTGAAGAAATCCCACTTTACAATCATATGTTGAACTCTTCAAGAGTTAGGTCGTGGGCTTGAGGCATCAAGGTCGACCCACAGCATCCCCGGATGCCAAGTGTTTGCCCGACCCGCCCAGTCTTGCAGAAGACCCACCCGGGCGGCTCCGAACCGCCGGCGGACTGAAGCGAGCGTGTCTGGCGCTTGGAAAGACGGGTTTGCTCCCATGACAGTGCATCCTCCGAATGCCTTCTTAGGTCTGTATGATAGGTTAACTACTCAACGTTGGCCCGGCATTATTTCTCAAGACTACTCATTTTTATATAGCACCGAGCTTCATGGACTGGCACACCATGTGCAAAAAAAGCCAAACTCCAAGCGTGGGTGCCGACGAAACCTTCGACTAGAGAAACGAAAAGAAAGCCATTCGGGAGCCCAAAATCTTTTTTTCTTTACTCGGTTTCTTTTATTGGATTTATTTTGCTCAGTTTTCTTCATCTTTCTGTCTTTTCGTAATTTCCTTCATTTTACCTATCTCTTTTCTTTACTTCTTGCTTCCTTTGCGAGTTCGGTTTTTTTGGCCAGAGGGTGACTGGGTCTCAAATATGACGCTGGGTGGGATAACCCCGATAGCTCCTTCGAAGGAGAGGAGAGGGAGCCTCTCCATAGACCAGGAGTGAAAAGCTATGAGAACCATTCTGTATGGGCCCATGTGTTGTCTGTTTTGTTGTCGGAACATCGACTTCGGCTTATCTTTGCAGAACCTCCAATGAGACCAAGATCGCCAAGCCATCTAGATCTTGCTAAGGGAAACTGCCAAGCTTATTTAAGGGCCAACATCCATGCACGGTCTGGATGGGGATTGCCTCTCTTCTCATGCCCTTTTAGAAGTTACCACAGTAGTTGCCTTCACTAGTTCTCTACTCCTCGGCCCTCTTAACAGACGAAATCGGACATCACGGAAAACTTTGTTGTATAAGTTTGGAAGGCTCAAGCAAGAAAGTTCGTTCCAACACCCCTTACTTGGGTGGCTCTTGATCAGTTTGGCCCCCAATGTTGAACACTTTTGACGAGAGCTCGAGAGTTGAACACTTGGCTTCCAGATACGGACTTCTCTGGGAGAAAATGGTAACAAGTCGGATTTTGGGCATAGGGCCAACGAAAGAAAATGCGAGCCATGCAACATTCAGGGGTGCCCAGAAGGCACAGGCTGTCTGCAATCTGCCATGAGATTGGGCCCGGCACTGATGTGCACTGACGGCCGTGGGGAGCATAGAACAACGGTTTCTGTGTTGCTTCAATGGCGCATTTTAGACTCAGTTATTCCGTCCACAATAAAATGAGGTGCCTAAAACGGCACAGGCTGTGTGCCTGTCTTATCAGACATCTATAAGTATACCATGCACGGGCCTCTCCTCAACGTTCCACGTCCGCAAGTCACAAACCAGGGGATAATTCCAAACCCGCTGTTGGTATTACCAACCCCTTTCTAGTAAGAGAATAGTTGCGATCCTCAAAGAAAGATGAAGTGTAAAAAAGCCGGCCATAAAAGTTTCGGACCACATTTTCCCGTGGCTCAGTCACTCCCCCACCCGACGATGTAGTATTCGGCAGGAGGAAATCCACTCCCAAACTCAAAGGGTGAGAACCTTGTCAGACAAAACCCGGAAATCAAGGGAGTTCCAAAGTCTTGGCAAAAAAAGTCGAGTTTGATTCAAATCACAAGACGTTGATACGGAGATTATTGTATTACACGACTTTTTTTCTCCATACCTCGTTCCTCTGTACGGTTGATACCGTGCGGTAAACACTTCTAACTCCTCTTTGTTCCGCCCATCTTTGCCGCACCACCGAACCACAGGGTGGAGTTGACCCAAGTTTGAAGAACACTGGATGTGAAAAGTACAGCTCTTTTTTAATCGACCCACTCCCGTTATCGGTGACGCGAGACAACTGGCCACGAACCAGTCCACAAAGCCCGGTGAACCGAACCCGTCTCTCTTTCTCATTCCGTCCTCGGCGCGGCAGCGTCCATTCCGGTCGAGATCAATAGCCCGGCAAATCGGTTCCAGCGCCCGCCGTCCGGTCTCCCCCGTGGCATTCCAGCCAGCAGGGAGCAAAAAGCCTGCAACCTGGCGTTCTTCAGCTTCGGCGGTGCGACGACGTCGTTCAGCGACCGTCCGGTGCGAAGTCAGCACCGGAGGCGGTCGTCGGCCACAGCACCCCCGTCCACCCTCCAATTGGACGATTGCCAATACCTGGGGGTTCAGCCCCATCGGCCTCTAGGTCCCCTCTCACCTATTCCAGGTACGTGACTCTCCGCTCCCCTCGGCCGGGTCCGTGTGACTTTGTGCAGTGTGTGCCCTCGGGTGCTTGCATGGCTAGCGGGGTGGGTGGCTGGTACGCATGTTGGACTGACACGACCATTTTTTCGTATTCGGTTATCCAGGCACTCCAAACACGCCAATGTCTTTGTCACGCAGTCCCTCCCCAGTCCCCGGCGGCGGCTGGGCGAGTCCGGGTCTCAACATCGTGAGCGGCCGATCGAGTCCGACGAGAGCATACCCGGGATCCAGCGGCACACCGGCGATGTGGGAGTCATCCAGGTTAAAGAAGGGCAACGGCCCCGGATACCCTTCGTTTTCGACCAAGAACCAGAGCTTTCTCGGCCGGCACATGCGCCGCATCTCGAGCAGCCTGCCGCGCTTCGGTTCGAATTCGCACTATGCTGATAAGGAAAAGCTGGGGCGGGGCAGGTGGTCGATTCACAACGTGCCCCTACTCGGGCGGGTTAGAGGAATCATGGCGCGCATGGGCAGGAAGATGAAAATCAGACTACTGATCCTGCTCATGTTCATACTCTCCATCATTATATTCTACAACAGTCGTGAGTCGCCGGCGCAACCCGCCAGATATCGGTCAGCGATGGGCTAACACAGGACAGCTCTGGTATACCATTGGCGGAGATCGGCCTGGTTCGGGGGCGGCCAAAAGTTCGTCATCATACTTGGGGCTAATGTCGGAGGCGGGGTGATGGACTGGAAGGGTGCGCGAGAATGGGCGATCGAGCGCGACTCGGTGCGGAACAAGAAGAGATACGCTGCTCGTTGGGGGTATGAGCTCGAGATCGTCGACATGAGCACCAAGAAGCGGTATGCACACGAATGGCGAGAGAGCTGGGAAAAGGTCGATTTCGTTCGCACTCGTCATGAGGAAGTACCCAAAGGCCGAGTGGTACGTTGCCAACAAGCTACATCCCCCCCCCCCCTCCAATCTCTCTAACACTCTGTTTAGGTTTTGGTGGCTTGACCTCAACACATTTGTCATGGAGCCCTCGTACTCACTCCAGGACCACATCTTCGACAACATCGAGAAACATGTCTATCGAGACATCAACGAATACAATCCCCTCAACATCACACACCCCTTTACCGAGACGTACCTCGACGCCGAGTCGCAAAGCCCAATAGGCGACGGGAAGTCCGGTTCGGTCAATCTGATGCTGTCGCAAGACTGCTCCGGCTTCAACCTGGGCTCCTTCTTTGTTCGTCGAGGTGTGTGGGCCGACCGGCTGCTGGACGTCTGGTGGGATCCGGTGGCCTACGAGCAGAAACACATGGAGTGGGCGCACAAAGAGCAGGACGCGCTGGAGCAGCTGTACATCTCGCAGCCGTGGGTCCGGAAGCACACTGCCTTCCTGCCGCAGCGCATGATCAACAGCTTCCCCAGCGGGGCGTGCGCCGACAACGGAAACGACTCGCGGATCCACTACGACCAAAAGGACCGGGACTTCCTCGTTAACATGGCCGGTTGCGAGTGGGGACGGGACTGCTGGGGAGAAATGTACAACTTCCGGGAGCTCAGCTACTACCTGAACCGTAACCCGTGGGAGCGGTTCAAGGAGGACTTGGTGGCTGTGCTCTGGTTCAAGATTACGGGACGTAAGGTGAAGCTGTAGGACGCCAAATGTTACCGAGGGTGGAACGCTGCACTGGATGGCGGGCGACATGGCCTTTCGCTGTGGCTTTACCTCGCTTCACCTCGCTTCATCCTTGGAGCCTTAACAGGCGAATGTTGGCCCCGCCCCATATCAGCAACGACAAAGATGCCGCCTCTGGTAGCACCCGGCACCTACAACCCGAGCAGGAATCGGAAGCCGATCGCCACGAAATCTGTTATTTTCACATGTTCATATTTGCTCAAGCGGTTTTGGAGTGGCGGGATAGGGTGGATTATTAGACTTTTAAGAGGTGCATTGTATGGAGTATTGTATGTTCCTAATAGTAGTGAACGCCTTCTGTTTTGAGGACAGGGACACCAGGGGAAAGCCATCGGGGACTGCTGGCGGTGGGACGGTGATGATAAGAGGGGGTACGAACGATACATTCTGTGTTTATGGATCGGATCTGCGTACCGACCTGAAACGACAGCAATTTATGAGTTATTTTGTGAGATTTGGTACCAGTCTATCTGTTTTAGACAGTTACACAGTTCAACAACACCATTGATGAGGTAACGAACTGCAAGGTACTTGAGGAACTTCAAGATGGAGTGGCATGCACAGTGGTCTGAACCGAAAACAGGAGTTGGTTCTTCCGTGAGAAGTGATGTGCATTCCACATTGTTACGGAAAATGATGCAAATATATTCCAAATATTTGAGGAGCACGAAACAGATAGATGTTTGTTCAGCCAGGCACAAACCATATCACCGGCGCGTCGCATCCCCAATGACGCCCCCACGCAGCATGGTTTGGCTGTGGGTCCGATAGCCAAGACCCACTCAGCGTCCTTCGCCGGAACCAGTCGATTGGCTTTCGCCTCTTCCCGCTGCAACAACGTTCAAGAACCTGTCGCTTGGAGCACCGGATGTTTGGTTGCAGAGTTGTCTCAAAACACAAAACCATGGCAAGCGGACTGGATGGCGTGCGTTCTCCTGCAGCCCAGGTTCTGGGTCTGAAACAAAGTTTCCCCCCTCGAAGGCGAATCCCATCTCAACTCCCACGAACATGGGACGAGGTGGCATCCGTTCCTGGCACCGTCTGAACTTGCAATCCTGACCGTTCCCGTCACCAAACACATCCCGCCAGGCCCATATCACCATTCACCGGACAGCCGCCAGTGTTTCGTTTTCCTGTTCCGACATGGCCCTCCCATGCCATACCCACACAGCTGGATTGGAGTCTGGACGTCCACAGTCCCCAAGCTGTTTCCGTTGCCACACGCCATGGACTAGTTCATCGGCCGAATCAGGTCTCCCGGCGAATAGCTTCCACTTGGCGGCCCCTGGGTAATGAACGCGCGCTTCTCGGATCTGTGTCCGGACCCGCATGCAGAGGTGTGTTATAGGGACTCTATCGTATCCATGAAGATATTCCTGCGTTTTTCTGTTTCTGCTTGACATGCGGATTCCTCGCTGTCCTTTATTCTGCTTCCGTGTTTAGCTACAGTCGTCTCTCCTTATGCGGCTGTAGCATTTTATCTCGTTTATTTATTTCTCCCATTCAGTTGTGGATTTCCGAGTTGGCTATTCAGGACCAACGTTCGCTATTGATATCTGGCTGTGCGTTGCTATTGTTAGCTGTCATCTGTTAACAATAGCTCAAGCTGTTACAACGCAATAGTTCAATTGTGTGTTGCCGTTTTGGAAGATAAGTAGCCATCTCGATTTCTGGCTTGTCTACTCGGAAAACCATCAACTCTTGGATCGGCAACGGCTCTTTGGAATACCTTCTCTGCCTGGAGCAGTCAACCAACTTCAAGCTACTCATTACATCTTCAAAACCCGGGAGCAGGTCTCTCGGCTAGGGTTGGTTTGGGTGAAGGAGAAAGGCAGAAACAACCTATTCGACAAGGAAAATGGTTCGACCAACATTGGGCTTCGCCGGCTTGGCGCTCACGGCAAGCTCAGTCCGGGCAGCCTACAACATAGTCGACAACTTCGACGCGAGCAACTTCTTTACCGAGTTCGACTTCTTCACGGCGCCAGATCCCACGCACGGCTTCGTCCAGTACGTCGACGCGGCCACGGCAAGCCGCGACGGCCTCGCAGGCTACGCCGACGGCGGCGTCTACCTCGGCGTGGACTACACCAACACCACCACAACCGGCCGCCCCTCGGTCCGGGTCACGTCCAAGAAGGCCTACACCAAGGGCCTGTTCATCGCCGACATCGCGCACATGCCCGCGGGCGCGGCCGGGTCGAGCTCGTGCGGCCTCTGGCCGGCCTTCTGGATGTTCGGGCCAAACTGGCCTAACTCGGGGGAGATCGACATCATCGAGGGCGTCAACAGCCAGCGGTCCAACGCGGTGACGCTGCACACGGGGCCCGGGTGCTCCGTTTCCAACGCGGGCTCGCTCGCGAGCACCAAGCTCGTCTCCACCGACTGCCAGGGCACGGCGGGCTGCTCGCAGAGCACGCGCGCCGCCGACAACTACGGCCCGGGCTTCAACGCGGCCGGCGGCGGCCTCTACGCCCTCGAGTGGACCGACGCCGCCATCAAAGTCTGGTTCTTCCCGCGCGGCACCCCCCTCGCCACCCAGCTCGCCTCCCCCCAACCAAACAACAACAACAACACCTCCACCTCCCAACCCCCCGACCCCACCACCTTCGGCACCCCCCTCGCCCTCTTCACCGGCTCCAGCTCAGGCGGCTGCCCCCTCTCACAACACTTCGCGGACCACAGCCTCGTCTTCGACACCACGTTCTGCGGCGACTGGGCGGGGCGTGTGTGGGATGCTGACCGTGCGTGTGCCGCGCTGGCTCCGACGTGTGAGGCGTTTGTGGGCGGGAATCCGGAGGTGTTTGCGGATGCGTATTGGTTGGTGAGGGGGGTGAGGGTGTTTCAGGAGGGGGGCGAGGGGAATGGGGGGAGTGGTGTGGGTGTTGGGGTCGGTGTCGGTGGTGGCGCTGGTGTGGGTGTGGGTGTTGGTGTTGGTGCTGGTGCTGGTGCTGGTGCTGGTGCTGGTGCTGGTGCTGGTGCTGGTGCTGGTAATGGGCAGAGACGTCGGGTTGGGAGGAGGGGCGGTATGAGAGCGAGGAAGTGGTGGGCTTGATGGGGAGCTTTTGGGTTTGGAAGGGGTGTTTATAGGAGAGGCTGGGATGGTTTGGTTTCTTTTCTATCTTCTCGGGTTAGAGCATGGTCTCAAACGGATAATGGGAACGCGCGGTGGCTCAGCGCAAGGCGTTGGGGGTTGTGATAGTCAGTCTCACGGCGTATCTTCTTGGTAGCTCTTGTGAGTATCCTGGTAGCATTTGGATTTTCCTAAAGTTTTTTGAATCTTTCGTTGCTCACGGGCGACTGGTACGCTCCCTCCCCGCACCAAGCCCATCATATCATTGCCTTCGCGGGGGCAAGCCCTCCACTCTCCCTTTGCTCTGTAAGCTTTGGATAAGGGGCTGAGTTCCTAGTTATTTGGGTGTGTTGAAACGCAGTCGTTAGGGAAGCGCATCAAGCTGATCTTTTCTCGTCACCTCCCAATCAACATTTCTCCGTCATGCCATTCTTTTCTTTTTGCCCCGTAGGTACTTAAAGCCTTTAAGTTAAAGGTCACCGTAAGGCTCTGGCGCTCCTTACCATTCCCGACACCCCCGGCCCCCAATGACCTCCCACCTACTCAGCCTGTGGAAAAAGGGCAGGCTCTCCAAAAGCCAACCGAAGAAACGAAGGGGTTCTTTACACGATGGACCCAAAATGCACGAGAGGATACTGCTTGCCCTACTGAGCTTCCGAGCTGTTAGGTAATATGCAATTCGATGTACCTATTTCGTCGGATTGCGGCTCGTTCTGTGATAGGAACACGCCACGGCGGCAATGTTGCAGCCCAACCCTGGAGCATCGAGACTATTGGCTAGTAATTGTGTTGTCAGGCATTGGCACCTACATAGTCATGTTCCATATCCTCTTTACTTCGTACTCCGCTTGGGCTGATCCGCCGGTGCTTTCCGTCTCAAACTTGGACAGATTCAGCATATCACCTATCGAGCACCTACCGTGACAATTTTTTGAAAAGGGTTGCCGTCGAGGTTGGATCATTACCATGCTTGAGACGATGCCCAGACTTCTCCGGAAGCTATTTGGGCGGCCCAAATCGACGAAACGAACCGAACTCCCACCTAACTTCCAACACGACGACGCAGCCCCTAATCCGTCCGGAAACCCGCAGAGCCCGTCTTTCCCGGACGGAGTGAAGGTCCTGCACGACTGCCCCGGCGCCACTGTTGACATCTGCTTTGTCCACGGTCTAACCGGAGATCGGGAGAGCACATGGACAGCCCGTGGGCACTCTGCGTCCTGGCCTGAGACTCTCCTGCCGTCAAATCTCGGCAAAAGCCGCATCCTCACGTATGGCTACGACGCATACGTCGTGCGGAAGGGAGTCGCAGGGTCGAATCGGCTTCTTGACCATGCAGCAAACCTTTTACACGACCTGACCATGGACCGAGAACTCAACGACGCGTCATCCCGTCCTCTCATCTTTGTCGCCCATAGCCTCGGCGGCCTCGTCTGCAAGAAGGCCATTCTTCTTTCGCGGAATAACCCGGAAGCTCATCTTCGCGGTATCTTCGGTTGCACCAAGGGCATCATATTCATGGGCACCCCTCACAAGGGAGCTTGGATGGCGGACTGGGCTAAGATACCAGCGTCGGCCCTCGGTCTTGCTAAAGTCGCCAACAAATCGCTTCTTGAGATTCTTCAAACAGACAATCAACTCCTCGAGTCCGATCAGCTTGAGTTCTGGTCAATGGTACGAGAATTGCGGGAAGGTGGCAGACGTTTCGAGGTCACCTGCGCCTTCGAGGAACTCCCTTTGCCTGTGGTCGGGAAAGTCGTGTCCAATACATCAGCCACCCTTGAAGGGTATGCTTCCTTCAGCATCCACGCCAACCATAGTGATATGGTGAGGTTTGTCTCCGCGGAAGAGAATGGATTCAAGAGGTTGCTTGGTGTGCTTACTAGGTGGAAAATACAACTCGAGCTTGTTGGTAAGCAGATTTAGCATACCTATTCAGCAGATAATTTCTGAGAATACACCAGGCTAATTCGCTCTTAAGCTCAACCCCCACCCTTATCCGACTCCTCTCAGAAATGCCTCCAGTCGCTGGCCTTTCCACAAATGCATGACCGGTCCAACGAAATTGACAGCGCTGCCGCGAGGACGTGCGAGTGGTTGCTTCGACATGAAAAATACACCACCTGGGCCGCTTGCCACCAAGGCTTGCTCTGGATTAAAGGAAAACCGGGCTCCGGAAAATCCACTGTGTTGAAACATGCACTCAAAAACCACAAAGCTGGAGACGGCGCCCTCGTCATCTCATTCTTCTTCCATGGTCGCGGAAATGAACTTCAGAAGACCCCTCTTGGCTTCTTTCGGTCTCTTCTTCATCAGATCCTTGAGAAAGCTCCTGACGCACTGCAGGATCTCGTCTGCGTATTCGAATCCAAGTGCAGGAACAATGGCAAACAGGGTGCTGGCTGGCATTGGCACGAGGGAGAATTACGACCCTTCTTCCAGGAGTCACTTTTCAAGGTCTTGAGGATCCGTCCAGTTTGGTTGTTTGTTGACGCCTTGGACGAGTGCGGCAAAGACAATGCGGTTAAGCTTGTTGGAATCTTCAGTAGCTTGCTGAAGAGTCTCCAATCCGAGCCCGAGGATCTCCAGCAGTTCCATATCTGTTTTTCTTGCCGGCACTATCCAATCCTGGATTTGGACGAGAGCAAGTTCGAAATCTGCACCGAGCACGAAAACGAAAGGGACATCTCAGCTTTTGTGGAAGACAAACTTGCCATATTTCGTGCGGGACCATCATCCAAGATGCCGGGTTTGATCACGTCGCGCGCCTCGGGCGTCTTCATGTGGGCACGTCTTGTGGTGGAACAGATTCTAGACCTCGAGCGCGATGGCGCCGGGATAGCGAGAATGGAAGCGGCCATCTCCGCTCTCCCTCCCAACCTCGACGAGCTATACCGACAACTTGTTCAAGGCATGGAAATGCGCTCCAAGAAGCTGATTCAATGGGTCTGCTTTGCCACTCGACCCTTACACATCGACGAACTGCGATTGGCAATGGTTATCGAGGATGATTGCCCATACCGATCACTACGGGAGTGCGAGAGGGCAGAAGACTACGTCGCCGATAGTGCCCGAATGAAAAGGCAAGCCCAAACACTCAGCCGGGGCCTTGTCGAGGTCAACCACGCCCAGACCGTCCAGTTCATCCACGAGTCTGTCAAGGATTTCTTCTTTGGCGATGGCTTATCAGCCTTGGGCGATGATGGAACATTGACCGAGGCGGCAGTTCAAGCGCATCTCCGGTTCTCCAAAATCTGCCTACGCTATCTGTCGATGGAGGAGATTGTCCAAGACAAAAGGGGCTTGAGCAATGACAATTTCCCCTTCTTGGGTTACGCCGTAACCTCATGGATGACGCATGCAGAGCACTGCGATGCTGTAAGCGTCCCGATCGTCCCACGAGATGACCTTCTCGCGCTGTTCACTTGGCCATCGAACGCCCTCGTAGGGTCAATAGTACGTGCCTCCCAAGCGTTGAGAAGAAGACTCCTCGATGGGAGTAACCTGGTACATATTGCGTCAAGTTACGGGCTTGTCGGGCTATTGATAGCCATTCTGAATATGGGGAGTGAAATCGATTCTGAAATCGATGCAAAAGACAGCTTTCGTCGTACACCACTGTCTTGGGCCGCGAAGGGGGGCCATGAGGCCGTTGTACGGCTACTCCTTGATACCGGCAAAGTCGATGTTGATAACAAAGACATTCATGGTTGGACACCACTGTCGTGGGCCGCGAACGAGGGGCCATGAGGCCGTTGTACGGCTACTCCTTAATACCGGCAAAGTCGATGTCGATAATAAGGACCGTTGGGGTAGGGCACCACTGTCGCGGGCCGCGGAGGAGGGCCATGAGGCCGTTGTACGGCTACTCCTTGATACCGGCAAAGTCGATGTTGATAACAAAGACAATTATGGTTGGACACCACTGTCGTGGGCCGTGAACGGGGGCCATGAGGCCGTTGTACGGCTACTCCTTGATACCGGCAAAGTCGATGTTGATAACAAAGACAATTATGGTTGGACACCACTGTCGTGGGCCCTGGAGAGGGGCCATGAGGCCGTTGCACGGCTACTCCTTGATACCGGCAAAGTCGATGTTGATAACAAAGACAATGATGGTTGGACACCACTGTCGCGGGCCGCGGAGGAGGGCCATGAGGCCGTTGTACGGCTACTCAAGGCAGCGCGGTAGTATGTTGAGTTTGTAGTTATCGATGGCGATTTTCTTGTCGGATAAGGTAATGTATACGAATACTCTCCCAAGTTTATAAGCTGCATCTCGATGACTGTTGAAATGAAGTTTCCATGCCAGAACCGAATACTAGCTGCTCGGTCTAACGGTCGAGCCGACCGACTGGGACCATAAACCCGTGCTGACGTCGTGGCAACAGTCTTGGAGTAGTATGGGTGTTCCCAGTATTGTCTAGGTACTATCTCTCTTCGGGCTTTGCAATTGGAAGTAGCACAAATGCATGGCGGGGTCCTACCGTACATAAGGCCAACCAAGAGGGGGCTCGAAACTGGTTAACAAGTTCAGGGGTAAGTGAATAAAAGTTACGTGAGCCCTCGGCAGCTATCCACAAACTCGGAACTCAAGACAAGACACTAGAAATGCCATGAGGTCAAACTTGACCAACCCACAAGGAAGGGTATTACAATATAGCTTCTTTGTTTTGACAAACACGCTGTGGTTGCTACAATCTTGAGCAAACTCGGTGGCATATCCAGCATTTTCGTAGACCATCTACGCACAAACCCAGAAAATAGCACCACTCTTGACACACCAAGATTCTGGTCCATCCCGTCGTTTGCCAGCGCAATCAAGAAGGCCCCGGAATCTTTACCAATGCCTCCCGAAACTTCCTCCACGTCAGCCCCCTGGAAATGTTGACATGCTTCAGCGGGTTTTTGCGTCTCATATCCCTGCTTGGCGTGACAAGTTCCGGAAGGGCCGTGGCCAGCGATTCCTGGATATGCCTGGACATGACCGGGTCCTCGATGCTACTGATAAACTGCCAGATGAAGACGGTGTCTGACTTTGGTGGGTTGGTCTTGTACTTGTCTCGGAAGACGACGTAGAGGGAGCGTATGTCTTGGTTTGGAGCGTGGGCCAGAACTGGGCGTTCGGGTTGTGACTGAAGGGGATGTTCAAGTCTTCTTCTCTTGGTGCGTGCCGGCGGGCGGTCATCCTCACTCGTGTCATGTTGGTCCCGGTGTATGGTTCGGGCTGGAATTTGCTCATACGGAACGCTTGCGTGGGAGATTGTATGTTGCTGGTCAAGCGGGACATCTGTTCTGATTCAAGGGGTTGGTGCTGGGTTTTGGAATAGGCCTCTCAAGATACTGTTTATCCAGCAGTCTCATCAGGCCTTCCCGGTAAGAATGAAGCTCGCCCAAGAGGTTGACACTATCTGCGGGGAGTTGCTGCTGGGCTTGGGTTATCGCTATAACTTGACTCTCGAGCGCGGCAAATTTGCCTTCAAATGCTAGCCTCTCTGCTCGCGCCTCCTTTAGCTCTTGTTGAAGAGTCTCGACTTTCTCGAGAGCCAAACGGTACTGTTCCTGGATGGTTTTGAAGTCATGGGATGTAGTTGACCGCAGCCCGTCCAGTGACTCCTGCTGAGCCACGGCTTTCTCTAACAAGTCTGTGACTTTTCCTTCCACATTATCCCTATTCTGGCCAACCTCGTACTGGAAAGTCGAGAAGTCGGTGCGCAGAGTGGTTATGTCTCTGATCTCGACGGCGTGTTGTTCGACTTTGGACTTCGCCTCGGCTATGGAAGCGGCGAGGAGGTCATGTCTTGTCGCCGTGTCTCGTTGCAAGGATGTGATGGAGAGGCTTGTCTGCTGAACATGTTCATCCAGGGCCTTTTTGAGGCTGTCGGCCTCGCGAGTGCAGTGCTGGGCACTGAGGAAACTGGCCCACGCACTGCTCAGTGACTGGTGCAACCGATCAGGCTTCCTCGTCTCAAATGCTTCCATTGGCGACCGGTGTGTTTGGGAAGGCGAGCTCTGCTTTGAGTGTGGTTGTTGCGCATGGAACATCTTCTGAGGCAAGTGTCGAGGTGGATGGGGGAAGTTTTGCAATGATCGGGCTCCTTTTCCCAGGCCAATGTTTGTGTGCCTTGCTGTTGCCTCACCTGAAAATTTCGCATATCTCCGTGTGGTTGAGATCACCCAAGAAAGGAAGGCACGGTGTGGCCCGTCCAGTCTAGTAGGCCGATACCTGCCTTGCCCTAGATCTTAGACCTCTCTAGTTTTGCAAGATAGCGATAGAGATGCTTTGGTTTCCGCGGGGCTGTTACCTGCAAACTAGGTACCTACACAGCCCCAAAGCTCACTGTAGTTCCGGGTTTCCCAATTAGGTTCCCGTAACCCTCATCAAAAAGGAGGCAATATCGTCAATCTGCTCCGGTGTCTTGAGCCAATGGCCCTCTAGCTCTGCGCCCGAATATTCTTTCCACCCCGTTTGGAATCCTACGTTAGTAAGCACATCCTGGGCCTGTCTGCCGAGCTCAACATCGACAACCGCGTCGTCAACCCCGTGACCAAGAAAGATGGGCGTGACACGGGCCGATTTGTCGGCGTCACGAGACGAAACGACCGGATGCCATGCGGGCAACATGTCCACGACGAAAGCATCCGACAGATCAGTCTTCGGTGACCCCTTATCTGCTTCATAACTGCCATCCCGCAACAAAAGCCTCTGGATGTTCGCTGCAAAGGGCAGCCAAGTGCTAGCTCCCACGAATGCCCCCAGCCGCTTGCCACGTATTTCCTGACATAGTATCGTCCACATGCCAATGGCACCCCCTTGGCTGACACCCATGATGACCACCTTCTCGGTCTCTCCGCCAAAACTTGCGGCCTCCCCGTCGAGGATCGACTGGATGTAAGCTACCGACTGCCTGATGCCTTCCATCTGCAGGTCCGCTCTCGCCGACGTGTCCGTGAGCGAATGGGCCTCGAACCAGGCGGGCAACATTTCCTCGAACGCAGTGCTCCACAGCTCTCGAGACGACGGAAACACCCATCGCCAGCTCGGGAACCTGTCCGTGAGCGGCTTCTGGCCAGGCACCATGGTCTCGGCGAGTTCCTCGGCGAACTCCGGGCCGTTGCTTCCCCGTCCGTGGAGCATGATGGCAGTGTGAGTGTGTTCCGAGCTGGGTTCGATGGTGTGTATGCTGCCAAAATGGCCGTTGGCCGATGGGACGTTCGCCATGGTACTTGTTGGAGTGAGGGCCTGTCTGGGTTGTTGGTGAGGTGTAAGGAAGGGTTTGAGAGCCCCACATGGAAGTTCGGGTGGTAGAATCTCCTCCTTCTCCTTCTGACAGAGCCTTTCCCCCTCGACTAATACCTGTCCCCTGCCAGCTTGAGGCAGCTACATCAACCTTATGTTTGAGCCAAGGCCGGTTTCCGGGCTTCTTCCAGTTCCCTTCTCTTCGATGTTCACCCGCTGTCATCACCCCTCGAAGTAAACATGACACCTGCTATTAAATCGATAAAAAACCCCTGAGGATATATTCTATTTGACCTCGTTTCCTTTGTTTCAGCGATTCAATCACTCGCTCAGACAGGATCGTCAGGGGGTCGTTACTTGTATCGGCTAAGAAAGACGTGGGAAAGCGGGGGAGGGGCAACTCCACCGCAAACTTCCCCCGCTCCCGCCCCCTACACACTGCAACGTTAGTACATGTGGATATCAGGGGTTAGGTATTGCCCGACCCGGGTCATAGTTTTGCCTCCAGAACCCGGCAGCAGGGCTGTAATTCAACCTCCGGACCTATGGGCCGTTACCAGGAACCGATCATGTCCCGGGTGGACTTGGTGGAGAGAAGTTGAGTGTCATGTTTACGATGATCCGAACATAAGCCTTTTATTACTCTGCTTACATTGCTCCTCCATCTCACCTTGCCAGTCGTCTTATCTCACAGGGGAAGCAGGCTATGCTCCAAATCAAGATGGCATCAGAAGATCAACTCAGCGGCAATGCTGCTTACCGCCAGTACCTTCCGGACCTCACCACGCCCCGGTTCACTACCATGCGGACGCAGGATGCTCATGAGTACGCAAAGGCATTCAAAGAGGGCGGTGTGCCACCATGGCTCCACGGCCTGTATCTGCACTGGCAGAAGCTATTCCAGGAGCCCTTCAAGGGCATCACCAACGATGGTGAGCCAGAACCCCCCTAAACCCCCCATTTACATCCCAGCCGCCACTTACTCACACCCACCCCCCAGGTCGCGTCCGCCCGGACCTCTTCCGCCTCCAAGACGAAGGCATGCCCATCGACGCCATCGTCTCAGCCGCCAACACCCTCCTCTCCCAGCTCACCCCGTCCCAACACGCCCTCCTCACCCACCACATCGACTCCCCCGAATGGCGCACCTGGTCCAACCCCGAATTCCTCCTCTCCCCCAAAGGCCTCCGCCTCGACGAGCTCCCCGCCCCTACCCGCACCGCCGCCCTCTCCCTCCTCCAAACCACCCTCTCCCGGAAGCTACGCCTAAGCCACCGCCGCCATGCACATCAACGCTTCCTGGGGAACCCTCGTCAACGCAGCCCCGGCATCCTCAAAGAAGCATCCTACAACCTGGTCCTTTTCGGGCACCCGTTCCCCCAACCATCCCCTGGAGGCTTCTCCTTCTACGGCCACCACCTCTGCCTCAACATCTTTTTGCACCGCACCCAAGTCGTCATCGCGCCCTGGTTCACCGGCGCCGAGCCCAACCTCATCGACGACCCGGCCGCGCCCCACGCCGGCACGCGCATCCTGCAGACCGAGGAGCGGCTGGGGCTGCGGCTGATGCAGGCGCTGGTGGGGCGCGGGGGGGAGGCGATGCGCCGGAGGGTGCAGGTGTATGAGGCGATGCGGGATGAGGAGGTGATGCCGAGGGGCAGGTGGAACCATGATGATCAGCGGCATTTGTGCGGGGCGTATCGCGATAATCGCGTGGTGCCGTATGAGGGGGTGGTGGTGGGGGAGATGGAGGAGGGGGAGAAGGAGTTGGTGAGGGGGATTTTGAGGGAGTTTTTGCTGTATTTGCCTGAGAGGGCGAGGGGGGTTAGGATGGGGGAGGTGGAGAGGTGGTTTGGGGAGACGTATTTTTGTTGGATTGGCGGGTTTGGGGAGGAGGATGCATTTTATTATCGCATTCAGAGTCCCGTGGTTATTGTCGAGTTTGATCACCACTCGGGTGTGTTCTTGACGAACGAGGAGCCGGCCAAGTTCCATATCCATACGCTGCTGCGGATGCCGAATGGGGGGGATTATGGCATGGCGTTGAGGCCGTTGATTCCGGGTATAGAGCAGGAATATTTGTGGGAGGGGAAGAAGGAGTGAGTGGGCTGGCGGTTTGGATGGCGGGATGTGTATACTGGGAATATACAAGAAATGAAATAGTGATCCATTTTGCGACTGACGCCGAGTGAATGATATCATCCAGGTACGAATACTTGGCTCGCCCGTTTTTGGTGAGTATCCTTTCTCGCCTCAAGACCTTCCGCTTCAACCTTCCACTCCATCCTTCAGCCTCAAACTTCTAGTTTCATCCACCTCCCAAATTTCCGCTTCCAACTCGCCTTGCAGCCACTCAGCCCAATCCTGCATATCCCTCTCCTCGAAATCCCAACCTGTGGTAATTCCTGCTGCTCTTTCCTCCAGCTCTTCCTCTGGCGTTGGTCCAGCCCCGCCTCCGGCTTTTTCTTCTGCTTTTCCTCCCGCCCTACCCACTCCTCAAAATCCCACAACCTATGCCTCCCTCCTCCTGCTCTTCCACCCGCTCCTCCTCCTCCTCCTTCTCCTCCTTCACCTCCTCTTCCTCCCGGTCCTCCCCCTGCTCCTTAACCACCTCTACTATCTAAGTACCCCTCGGCACGGTCCCCCAGCTCCCACCACAAACACACTTCCTCTGCTGCGACAGCACGAAATGGTACCCTGGTTTTGCCGAGAACAGGTCGCCGACGACGGCGGCGCAGCGCACGCACCGGCGCCACTGCGGACCGTCGCTGTCCTCCGCCGATCCCCGTCCACGTGCCAACGATGGTCATCCGGTAGCTCGCCATCCCGTTGTCCCCCGCGGGTAGCATGCCGCTCCCTCCGCTGCCTCCGCTGCTGCTGCTGTTACCAGCAAACGGTGGCGGGACACCGCTGCCACCAGGCTTCGTCTCCGCTTCGCTGCGCCTGCCCGCTGCTGATATTTTCCATGTCCCGGCCAGCAACTCCGGTGCGTTTAAAGACGTCGACATACCTGCTGCGAGGCCTTGCGGGCGGCCAGGGGCCGTGGGGGTTGTCCTTTGAGCTCGAGCAGGCTGTACGTCGGCAAAGTAGAGCTTGGCCGGGTCGGTCTGGGCGCCGAAAAGGCCCGCAAGGTGGTGGAGAAAATGCTTGAGGAGCACCTTCGTGGAAGCTCGGGGGCGGGCTGACGAGCAGCATGTCCAGCTCGCAGTGGGTCTGGCTTTTGATGACTGTTCGTTGTGTGTTGCTGTGCTGTCGGTCATGTGCGGGTTGGGGTTTGATTTTGGGGCGATGAGGCCCGAGAAGG